GTCTGAAACGTCGGCAGAAGCCAAACGTCAGCCAACTTGTACTCGCGACTGTGAGAACCTCAAACCCTGTGATTCCTGCAACATTTCTTGCGTTGTTACACGCGGACAGGTAGACAGACAGACGCCTCGCCTTCTGCACTAACTCACATATTTCTGTTTCACAGCATTTACGTACCATTCCGCACAGCTACACCTGCATTGGATCGCTTTGAGTTCATGGGAGCGATCCACGACCACTGGTTTGTCTTGCTGTCGTAACTTTCAGCCGTTCTCTGAGCCACATGATCTTCGTAACCTCCCATGGCGTACACCACACCTCGCAGAACTGCCACCATTAACCTGGCTCTGAAACGATAAAAGTACAGACTCTGCTATGTTCATTTATTGCTGATTCAGATTCATTTCCTCTCGCAGAACGCTATTGTTCGCTCGTCATTGTTAAATCATAATTCAAATGAATTAACAAGCAAATCGTATTCTTAAAAGCAACATTGTCGTAAAAGTCCTCCTACCTATTCACACTTTGCATGATGCTCCTGTGTGTGAGTGGTACAATCTTACAGACCCTGCCCACATTTATATCAAGACTAACAGAGCGACTATCAGCTTTTTAGGAAGAACTTTGTTCCAAGGAGTTCCTTAGTTACCAAGTTGCATCTTACCTTGGGGCATTCATAGGCGCCACCTCGCGGCATGTCTTCGTAAATGAGTTAAAGCAGCGGCATGACCTTAAACCATCAAAGCCGTCGTCGGTACCACCGATTACGTAAACGTCGAAACCGATTACTGTCGTGCCATGGCAGGCTCGCGGACCGATCGAGTCAACCCCTTCCACCTGCAGGAATGACAGATTATGGTTTTATGTTTCTTTGGGTCACTTGGTCTCCTAAAGTGAAGTCCTTACATTAGAGTCCATGCGACCAACCACCCCCAACAGTAGACCGAAATTGCTACACCGCGGTGGGTGGCCGGACCTACCGCACTCGACAAAGACCAACCCCTTCCACCTGCAGGAATGACAGATTATGGTTTTATGTTTCTTTGGGTCACTTGGTCTCCTAAAGTGAAGTCCTTACATTAGAGTCCATGCGACCAACCACCCCCAACAGTAGACCGAAATTGCTACACCGCGGTGGGTGGCCGGACCTACCGCACTCGACAAAGACCGCGGGAAATTAACGTGGAGCGATGGTGGAATTATGAGAGGCGGAGGAAACAGGAAGACTCGAAGAGAAGCTCAAACATTACCAGTGCGCTCGTCAAATACGACAGACAAATGTTGAGTTTCTGACCAATAGCTGACTTTTCAGGTTCGTACGATGGTAAAGACAGATGTTGGTGTTTTGGGTTTTATCGACGCAAAGCTGGAGGCAGTACGTCCCCCACCCCACCCCAATCAGTGTGTCAGCCTTCTAATTCACGCGGCGTTACCACGCAGATGGCCAACATCGACACTGATCAGTGCTTCATTTATTACGTTGAAATCCACAGACGATCAACGATGACTTCGTTTCATGTCTAAAATCAGCGGACAGGTTGATTTAGGACGCTTAATGTAAATGGTAATTAAGGCAAACTTCGTATCCTTCGTCGATTCCTATTAGAACCTACATTAAATATGAGACTCAGCTCCTGTGTAATTTATGTATTTATTCTTTTTAATTCATGTCTTTGGAGCTTCTCTTAAAAAAGGGTTCACTGCAATGGAAATAAGCGAACACTAAATACAGAGGCAACAAGGTGTTTGTGATTAAGCTTAAATAAACAGTTGCTTAGTAAAAATAAGCAAAAATGAGGAAAAGTAGTTTTTCTCAGAGGCGTCAATTAACTAGGCACGGTAAGAGTAGAATTTTGTGCAACTCACCACACTCCACCGGTCTGCTCGTGCAACGTAGGCTTCGATCACATCTGACACCCTTCTGTCACGAACCCCACCAATAGCAAAAAGAATGTCCTGTGGGATTCGCGGGCGGGCAATCCCTGGTGTCACGATTTCCTTGTATTCCTTCGTCATCATTTGTGAGGCGTACAAAAACTCGAGCGTCTCCAAGATCACGGGTCTGCACTCCTCGTTCTCCTTCACGTACGGGTGATATAAAACCTGTTGAACAGTTGTTAACTTTTAGGAAGGAATGCCATGTTCCATTGCAGAGGAAACAAGAAATTTGCACATAATTTGGTTGGGAAATCGCCGAAATAGACTATGGTATATACAGGAAATATGTTTTTTTGGTTTGTGTAACGACGCTCGATGCTCTTAACAAATGCATTGGTTGTGGAGAGAAGCGGAATCAAGGTTAAATCGATCTTAGATAAATGTATTGAAATGTGTTTCAACAGAAAGTTGAATACTTCAGTAAGAGTTGCATTTTGAGTTACATTCAAAATTGTAACTTATTTCTCGTCTCTCCAGTGCGAGATGCACGCTGCGAACACCACATTCTTTTTGATTAATTAATCGTCAAAATTACGTAGCATCGAAAGAAAACAATGACAATTAGTTGCTTCGAGATCAAGGGAGGCAACCTGCTGCTTGTTGATGATTGGGTGGAAGGACCGTCAACACAACTGCGTGTGATTATGGACTCGATGTCTATTAAGAGCCATTGCATGCTTCGACCTTAATTGGTCATCATCAGGTGGTTCTCTTTAAGTATTCGAAACTAATAGATACGAATGCTAAATTGTAAAGACATTTCAAGCGGATAACATTCTCACGAATCCGTGCGATTGTTTCACGCTCATTCGTAAGAGGTGAGTCGCTGAAATGAAAGGGATTTGACCTAGAGTAGAAAAATGATGAAATGGAATAAAGAATATCATAATTTGTATGGCTGCTTCGTGATATGACGGTTAAAAATTTAGAATGTTAAAGATGTCTATGAGTTTAAAGCACCTCGGGTAATTTACTCTCGGATGTAGAACGAAGTTTTCTTGCTGCAATCTTTGGATATCTTTTGTCCCTATGAGGTCAATCAGCTGAGGATTATCAAGCTGAAGTGACCTCGGGTTTACTATTTGTATCGTCGGAGATTCGTGAAATTATTATAGCTGCTAAGACACTCTTCTTATGGCAGTAGGATCTTCGGTTAAGTAGAACGCTGCTCCAGAAGACTTTATTTATCTGTTGGAGGATTTTCCTACTCAATCTGAGTGGGCGTTTGAAGTAGTTAACGGTGGAATGCTGTAGTTGAACTGAAACACGTAATGGATCTTAATAAACGCTGAGACTGTAATAAAAGATTGTACCGCAGCCGGACTGCCAAACTTACAGACGAAGAATAAAATACGATTATTAACTGCAACCATACGAGGTGCGATCAGAAAGTTTCAAGACTGTGTCAATAGAGGGCGAACCGGATGCAGTACGAGCTTCTGCCGCAAAGGGGTTGGGCCTACATTCATAGTGAATCAGTGTGCCAGCCGGCATCATCGAATTAGCATTTGTTTCTTAGTTACTGGCGTTTACGTAGTGCATTACACTGACCCTCCTGCGATTTCGGAATGGCGGATTTTCATGAACAAAGAGTGTGCATCAAATTTTGCCAAAGACTCGCCAAAACGGCTACGGAAACCTATGAAATGCTAAAGCAAGCATTTGGGGAGTCCGCAATGGGTCGTGCACAAACTTTTGTGGGGCATTCACGTTTTAAAAATGGCCGAACCCCTGTCGATGATGACGAGCGTTCTGGACGACCATCTTCGAGCACAACGCCCGAAAATGTTACGAAGATCGACGTCGTACCATCAACGACTAATGCGACATTGTTGGGATAGGCTATGGGACATGTCAGCTGATTCTAAAGGAAGAACTCCACAGGCGACGCATC